TTATTTTTTAAAGTAGGCCAGTACATTTTATCATACATATTTCAAAGTTAAGGATTCATTATTTTGATATAGCCTAGCTTGCATTGGAACAAACACTATAACAGTTGATTAGTTTATTTTTGACAAAACATACTATATATTTAACATATGAGCAGAAACGGTCTAACAAAAGCTTATTTGATGTCTATTTTAGAGTAAAAACTATATAATCTATCCAAAACTAGTCAACGAAATGTTGTAATTACAGACACTATTCTATATCGCGATTAGAACAAATCTCAGTAGGCTATAGCAATATAGTTTCGATGTGTTCATGTAAAAATAACGTTTACTAATGTAGGAGCGAGAGTGAATGAACGCACAGATGCGATGTACATCTGTAGTAAACAACATCGCGCGCGTCTGTGCCATTCATTCATTCACACACAGACACGCAATTCATATTTAAACAGTCTTTGTGTAGTTTACAGACACTATTCAATAACGCGATTAGAACAAAGCACTTAAGAATAAATAACTTACAGCTGAATCTCCTCGAAATGAAACTACCAGCACTTCTGAGGTAACTTTTCCAGGATTATTACGATAGTATTATTCCTCACAGTGCAGCAAGACAAGGTAAAGTACAAGATTCTTATTAAACTGGATGTTTTATCCAGCTGATGTGGGTGTTTTCATGGCTTGCCTCAACATTTGCGTTTGAATAGCGCGCGCTCTCAGAGAGCGTGGTCAGGATTAACACGTCATACGCTATAATTAGCTGAAAGGAAAAAGACTGACATCTCTCTCTTTTCATACAGATTACATAAACTGAGAATATTTGTTTTTTATATGTTTTTTATTACTTCATTTAAAAGAAGAGAATTTCAGCTTCATAACGGAAAAAATTTCGTGCCTGTGTGACAAGTATTTACTTAGTTACAGTTCATTTTCGGACGTGTTTCAGAACGAACTTCACTGACAGAGAGAAGGCAAAATTCGCATCATGTTTATTTTTCTTTATTTGACAAAAAGCAGAACACTTTGTTTTTATTGTGAGTATCCACAAAAAATAGACACTTAACAGGATCTAATGATGTACAACACTTATATGTAAGATCAAAATCAACAGAGTAATTTGAGTCTCTTTTGCACTGATAAGGAAAAAAGTGAGCTTGTTGTGCCGGCGCGATAGCCGACCCCAGAGGGTTAAGACAGCAAGCCATATTAAGTTTTAATATTTAGATTTAATATTTAGCAAGCCATATTAAGATCTTATCTTGTTTCTTATTATTTGTTTTGTTTTTTCAGCCGGAAAGCCTTTTCAGAAAAATTAAGCTCAACTATTGAGAGTGAGGAGTCACGTTTGGGCGGGGTCTGAGCCGGTCGGCCATGATGGTAGGAGACGCTATCGGTTGCCAGGGGCAACGCCTTCAGAACTTCACAGAGGCGCGACTAAACATTCCAGAAATAGCGAAAGAGAGACAGCACAGCTTAGTATTTGTTTACATACGCCGCAGTTTCTTTGGAAGATATGGAGAAGGAAGAGAAATGAAAGGGGTTCTATCGGGAGAGACTAAATAACAATGCTAGCCAGCTTTATTTAGAGGAACTGCTTGTCAATAAACTGACAGCAGCAACAGCGAGCAAAGCATGATTTCAAAAGCAACACATTTCAGCACAGTTCGCCTTTTATTTAACACAAACGAACGAAATTAATACTCTGTTATTCAACTAGAGTTGTTTAATTTGTTATAGATTATCTGTACCGCGAAATGTTTTAAAAAGACACTTTTTTTAATGACGTACGACTCGCATTGACAGGGGAATGTCCGATCTGTCCGCTTAACGTTGCACTGCAGGTGCAAATGCACGTATCTGATTCATATCAGATTTATTTCCACATATGAATGAGGCCTGAAACATCAAGTATGACTGAACTCTCGCAGTTTAACGTAACTTACAGGTTTGGGGGTTTGTCTTGCACCCAGCCGCGGCAGAATTGTTCATACGCTTCTAATGACTTAAAGCTTCTGAACTCTTGCATTAACGTTAGGCAACATAAACCAGGTAATTGACTACCGGTATGTCAGGGTATGTGAAAGGTGGTAGTGCTTTGGGTCTTTCGTCCATTCTGTAGCAGGTCGTACGAGTCCATGTTGTTGATGTCAAGTAGTTTCTCTAAATAACGCTGCTTGTTATTTAGTCTCTCCTGATAGAGCCCCTTTCCTTTTGCTTCCCCCTTCTTCATTTATTCCCAAGAAACTGTGCCTTATCGCAAAAATGCAAACAAATATCAAGCTGCTCTCTCTCTCTGTCGCTATTTCTCTCGGTCTCACTGTCGAAGTAACCATGACAACGGATAGCGTATCCTTCCAAGATGGCGACGCCTTCCCACAGTGAAACGCGTGACGTCACATTCTCATTCTCAATTGCACTAAGGGTCAAAGGCGATGACCCATACAGAGTCGGCTCAGGTAAGGCATTGTGACCAATGTAGATTTTTAAAGTGCCCATAAACATTCAGTGGTCAGTCAGACAGACACTGGTAAATCGCTTGTAGAAACTAAGATCAGAAAACGGAGAAACCATTTTACAATATTTTTTGGGAAGGATCCACTACAAAATCAGCAGCATGTTTATGCATTTTTCAGGAGATACTGATGAGTTGAAAAGCAACTGAAGAAAGCATCATGTCATCCCACCTGATGTGCTACAGATACTTCTGATCTTTGCTGCCAGTTCTGTGATCATTTAGCCAAGGAAATGAATTTATGTTGGTCAATTTAATTCAATTTGCTGATAGGCTACTATTTCTATATTGTCCAATAAAGCCAAATGGTCAAACCTCTTTATTCTTTGAATATCCCTCAATTCCGGTTTACTTTTCTATCTTTTTGAAGTCGAGTTGGAAGAAAATCTACCATCTATCATCTACCAGCTGGTCTTGTATCCAGTTTGATTGTCAAAGCAAAATAGCATCTTTTCAGCAACATAGAGAGGCAACTGTATTCTATTTGCTTTTAAAGTATCTATGAAATGGGGCCAGCTTCATTCTGCAAGAGAAGAGCTGAATTTTTTTGAGGAAATATACACAGGCAATAGAGAAAAACACAGGCGCTCACAGAATCGTCAGTGCTGAGGCACTTTTGATTTGTAACCCAAACAGCCTTTCATCATTTCCCTCTATGACGATACTTTATATCACCTGAGAGATGTCTGTGGTGAGACCACAACAAATGTGCTTGGTGTGTGTTGCTGATTGTTTGATCGCAGTCCCAAAAGGCTCACGGTTTCATTCAAAGAGACACTCGTTTGCCTTTTTCCTCAAGCCTAAATAATTCAAAAGACTATTGTTTCCTGTGAAAGCACATAGACTTAGCAAACTGAAATCGTGTTGTATGATAAATTAACTACAGTGTACAGTTTCAACATAGATTCTTCTGGTCAGAGGTTGGTCTGTGGAGACCAGACTAGTGATTAACAATAAGTTTTGGTTTGGACAGAGATTGAAGACCTGACTGTGTAACTCTTTGCACTCTGGAGACGTCATTTCTGCATTGCACGGGACTGACCGCTCTCTTTTCTACCTGCTCATATTTTATGTCATTAATGCCAAAAACAGAAATGACATCTCATTACACATCATGATCTCTCTAATTAAAAGCCTGTCCTGCCACCTCATTAGTGAAGCTGTCATGTATGTAAGTAATAATTATTTTGTTTAAAAATATTATGTTTACGTAAAACACAGCATTACAACACAACATAACTGTAACTTGGGTTTACCACATAGATATAATTAAAAGAATTTGGACTGCTCCAAAATTGTCATTGGTTATATATATATATATATATATATAGTTATTGTTATCCTGCAAGATCAATAACCAAGATATTGATAGCCCTAAATGGTGGGTTAATGATTATGCTTAAATTATTCAACTGACATTTAAAATAGATAATGTAATTTCATTAAGAAGTCAACTTTGAATCTATTTTTAATGCTGGAGTATAGATATTCAGTTTTATTTAAGCTATATATATATATATATATATATATATATATATATGTGTGTTTATATTTGTTCATATTATATAAAATATATAATATATTATTAATATAATATATTAAATATAACATATTTATTTATAATTATACAGACAATAAAGTGTTATACAATTTTTCTGAACAAATACAATCCAAGCTAATTTAAAGGTTATTTTCAGCATGTTTTTTTGGCCAAGCCTTTACAAACATCTATGCTCTAATCATGATTTTGAAGTTTAAATATATGTAAATGTATCATTATGACATGCATTTCTGCTTTTATTTTGATTTTATATAAGTGATACAAAAATAAAATCAAAATCAGTGAACATCCAATATTTATTGATAAACACACTCACAATGTTTTGTGCTCAGAAGTTATTCAATTTCTTCAACTGTGCGTTTACAGACTTTCAGAAATATTTGTCATAAAATGAGCCTTGCTATTTTGGTCTAAGCTACATTCTTTGCAGCCTGCAATTCTTTATAAAAGTACATAAAGGGCCATTCACCAGTGAAGGTGAACGCCAATGTGATTGACAGCTCCTTTATACTTCACAAGAGAGAGAAAGATGAGCTTTTCTGCAGACAGGAAAGCCCAGACCCAGAAACAAATCAAGAAGTAAGTTGCTGCTCAGTTTTGGATCGATAATATCTAAAGGGAAAAGCCCACTGGGAGGCTCTTAAGAGGAAATAGCCCAGAGGAAGCATGTAATAAAAAAGACAAGTACTTTACACAATACAGAAAAGTGTGTTCTAATAAAAGTCCTGCCACCATTGCTGCCTTTGTATTCTTTAAAAGGGATAGACAATTTCTAATATGAAAATATATTAAATGGATTGGTTATGTTGTGATGCACTACAATCGGTGGTCATAATATAATATAATATATGCATTTGTGAGTACCATTCTAAATGTGTCCCAAGTGTAAAGGGGAATGGAATTTGTAGGTTATAGAGTGAGATCGTGTGAGAAGTAATCACCAGGTGAGTTGGAGGATCAACTCCAAAGAATTTCCCACGGTCGGTTAACTGTAATTTAAAACTGCCGCTCACCAGCGAAGTGATGTGTACTGAGAAGTCAAACACTCTCTATCTCTCATTTGGGCTGCTATTCACTCAAGCAGACATGTTCTCAAGTCCAAGTCAAGTCTGAGATTTTTGTATTTTAAAAGGAATCTATTAAATGTGTCTTTTACATTTAATACGTTTTAATACGATTAAAGTCACCATGAAATAAAAATTGACAATTGTTTTTTTATAGAATATATTCCAGTATTTATTATAAACGATTTATATGTGCACATAATTATTTAAAAAAAAATGTATGTGCCCTTGTAATCTTTAATCAAGGTCTCCTTTTTGTAGACCTACAGATGTTGTCTCAAATTTTGAGTCTAAGGGGCTGTTTCCACCTGGCCACTTCATGCGTTTTCTCAGATCGGATAGATATCTGATTTATCAAAACGATTCCATTTACACCTGGTCACATAAATGTGTTTTTGCAAAACGGATATAAATCCGATCTTCAATTCCCGCGCTATATGCAGATTTAATGGAGTGCACGTCACCGAAAGCAACAGATATGAGCTGCATTTTATTGATCATCAGCTAATTTCAAAATCAAAGACCGCAATAAGAGGGAGCGGCAACAGCCCTGGTAAGATCATTTCGTTTCTTTACTTTTAATGAAGATGATTAGTGTGTTAAGCGTCTGCGACTTACTTTCACTTTGATTTGCGATAGTTTGCACGTTGGCTTGATGAATAGATGCTCAGCTGCTCATCTGCTGTAATGCGTGTTGCAGTAGCGACGTCATATCTGACTATAACATGACATATAGCCTATATAACACGCTCTCACACGTTTATTTTTTAGCATTTTTGTGAGTGAAATTTACATATGTGGTTTCAACAACCAGATGCATTTACACTTGTCCAGTTTCATCTGGAATGCGGCCCAGACCACCTCCTGAAGTGGTTTGAGTGATCGGATTTAAATCCGTCTCGAATGCGTTTCAGAGGGCATTTACACCTGGTCTTTTCACGATCGGATAGCTATCCGATCACGGAAAACGCATGAAGTGGCCAGGTGTAAACAGCCCCTTAGTCAAGTCCCAAGTCAGTTGCTCAGTTAAGTCTCAGTTTCATCTCTGTACTCAGGTCTGGCATTATAACCTTTTTCGATGCAACACTTTAAACTCAGCCTCACTTTCAGCAGTAGGGAAAGTCCAACAGTTTTGATAAAGTTTGAAGATAGTTTTTGGCTACGCCATGAGTGGTTGGTTTGTCTTTGTGTCTCTGCTGTTTGATGAAGTCTTGCTCTGTCTCTCCCAGCCTTGACGGATACGGGTGACCTTGTGGTCCACACATGGCATGATCAGGATTAACTTCAGGATCAGAACCACACAGGGGACCACCAGAGACAACATGTATGGTTGAGGCATCCACCACCTATATGATGAAGTTTTCAGAAATCTATCCCAGCCATACAGGAATGTGTGAAAGGTGCAGAGCAGCAGGGTCATGTAGCCCAGTTTAGACTGTAAAGGAAATAAGGAAAAAGTATTTTAACAAACATGATTGTCAGTAATTAGTAAAATCTTCTCCAGTGACACTCAAATGTATGCATTTCCACAGACTGTGGATGTAATACCTGTACAAAACTGAACTCCCTCCAGTTTAGGGAGTTGCTGACAGATGGAAGGGATGTAATTCCTAATAGGACAAACAGCCCAAATCCAAGAATTCCCATGGAATAGTAGGAGTCATGACGCCAGGCTGCTGTGTTGTCAAACTCATAGGTTTTATTATCTTTTACCTGCAAAAACAGCATTGAGAAAGGTTATATTTTTAATCACTTTAATTGTTCTGTGATCTTTGTGAGTATTTATTGATGTTTCATCTTAGATGTACAAATTTCATGTACTGTAGTTCATTTGCAATGCATTTTACTTTCATAATGTGACATATTATTTTTTAGTGCAACATTTGTAATTAAGTAAGCTAAGTAAATAAATAAATAAAGCACATTTTTTCACAAAAATAGCCTACCTGGAATGTGCATTTAAGGGATAGTTCACCCAAAAATGAAAATTCTGTCATTACACTCTCATGTCCGTCCAAACCCGTAAGACTTTTGTTCATCTTCGGAACACAAATGAAGATCTTTTTGATGAAATCTGAGATGTATAATCTGTTCATCATATAAAGTGATTGTGTCTCTTAAGAAAATTTGGACTAAACCACCAAATTCATATAGATTCGTTTTATGATCTCTTTATGAACTTTTTGAAGCGTCAAAGTGGTAGTTGCGTAGCTGTCAATGGAGGGACAGAAAGCTCTCAGATTTCATCAAAAAGATCTTAATTTGTGTTCCGTAGATGAGCAAACGTTTTACGGGTTTGGAACGACTTGAGGGTGAGTAATTAATGACAGAATTTTCCTTTCCTTAAATTAACCTAATAGGAATTAAATAGGAATTAAATTCATTTAGATTTCATGTTGATTTTAAACAGCTGTTTGGTGATAAATAAACTAGATGCACATATTAGAATAAGTGAGCCTTAGATTTTAACTCAACTTACCAATGATATTGTGTAGACATTTATCCTGTAGCGCACATAGTATCTGATGGGAATAACGAAAGTGTAAAGAACATGAAGAAAACCGAAGGCCAGTGCTAACAGGCCGAGTTGCTTCCTGCACAGCATCCAGCGATCCAACCAATCAGGGAAGCGACGGTACTTAGTGCCGTTATAAAGCTGCAGGAATCCAGCCAATGCGCCCGGCAGATAACAGAGGGACAGCATCACCAGAGAGACAATGGGAAAGACCTTGTTGGCCAGCGAGACCATAATGCGAAAAGCGTTGTCTTTACCATTGGTAACACGCTCATAGATAACATCTCTTGTGAGCGCGTAGAAGAATATGAAAGCTGTTAAACAAATGGCGATGCGGAAAGGAAGTCTCCAGAGAGGGAAGAGTTGCAATGGCAAGTCTTCTAACTCAGCAGCTGCTCTGATGGAGCCTCTGTCCAAGACAGTGAAACCAAGACTTTGAGCAATGTCCACCACTTGCTGTTTAGCATCAGCCCGGTCACCACAGATAAGTACCTAATCAAACGAAGAAGAAGAAAAACAGTCTAACAATATATATACAATGTAACATGTAATAGAAAACAGAATTAATTTAGAAAAGATACATTGTTGCATAAAATTGGGTAAATTTATCTTGGTAAAATATTATTATTATTTTTTACATATATGAATACTTCAAGTTCAAATTGACATTGATGTATTATGAATTAACAATGAACAATAGTATATTTATTAATTACAAACTGTAACCAGTATAAATAAAATAAAAAGTTGTATGCATTAAATAATATTACTGAATAGAACCATATTGTAAAGTGCTACCACAAAAACTACTCATGTGACAAATTATCTTCAAGTGGTTTGATTGTTTTTGACTTATTCTAACAAGCTGCCATTCTGTTGACCTACAAAACCCTTGAAACAAAATGCAACTTTAATAGTTTTAGACAGCAGTGAAATATCCTCTGGGAATTAAATTTAGTTCACAGCAATGTGCAGTCTGAGCCTGAACAATACAATATGTTGTCACAGTTGGCCTTCAGAAAATAGAACAAGAAATTATAATCAAAACGAGAAATAATAACTGCTTGGCCGGGTGTGACTATTCATTTTTATTGAGAAACACACAAACAGGTGTCAAAGAACATACGCACTAACATAGCCATAATAATAGTTTGCCAGAGCTCAGATTCCATCTGGCCAGTTTCTCATCCACCACCTGCTGACGTGAATATGACTTTCCTACAAAAAGACACTGCTTTTCTATCAGGAAGAAGCTTGCCTCATTTCATGAACTGTGAACAGCTCTAATGCCATGGACACAGAGATTTATACATGCATTAGTTTTTGTTTTATGATACGTGTCATTTATCTGCCCTGGAGTAGAGATGGAGCAGAGGAAATATGAGGTGCAGCTGTATGCATTTGTCATGTCTGATTTGTCTTTTTGTTCGTACTATAATAACAAAAGCTCATGCAAACACCTAAGCCTGTGTGTCTTCATTATGGCTGTTTTGTAAGACAGTCCGTTAAGCTTGATTCATTAAATTTTAAACAACTCTGTTCAAAACAGCTTTTCTGTGTTTTGCCCCTTTGTTGCTTAAATGATTAACAACATGCATGAGAATTTGCTAGCTATGTGCTTTCTATGTCTTAATCATCATTTTCTCTCACTAACTTTACAACTGTTTAATTGCTTTGAACAAAATTAGTTTATTTTGTGCATTTACATGTCTTTACCCGTTTACACTTATTTATGTATTTTACCTGCCTGGGTTACACTTTATTTTGATGGCCCCTTTAGACATTATGTTGACTACTATAAGTAACGATAAGTTACTATAACTTTGCAAGTACATGTTGATGTATTCTGCAAACCCCTAACAGTCTACTAATACTCAATAGTCAGTAGAATGTCTGTTGGGGGAGCATCACAATAAAGTGTTTGCAGATATTAATACTCTAATGAGAGTTAGTTGGGATGTGGGTGCAACTGAATGAAATGGGACCTTCAAAATAAAGTGTTCCCACTTCCTGTTAGTATTCCGTCCACCTGACTGGATAGACACTGTGTTTACGTTTGTATGTTTTACCTGTCTGTTGGCATCTAGTCCCCCAGACTGCAGTGCCCAGGCAGATATGGTGTTGAAGGCTTTGACTACCGTCACCCCTGGAACCAGCCCGCTCAGGTATTCTGCATTGGATTCTGGGTAGAGACCCCTCCTGAGATTATTGCTGACGTCTATCAGCACCTTTCCCTCAAGATCTGAAGCCAGGGAGCTCAAAAATCCATAGTGCTCCCTCTGCACAGCCACAAAAATCACATGTGCTTCACTAGCTGCTGCTGCATGAGCCATTACCTTTGACCCCTTAGGCAGCAACAGAGAGTTTTTAGGGTCCCGGGATCCATATACAACGTTGTACCCTGACTGGACCAAACGGAGCCCCAACGAGCGTCCGAAATCACCCGTTCCAAAGATGCACACTGTCTCCTGTTTATGCATCTTTCCATGCAGCTCTGCCATTGCGACCGAGTCTGAATTCATTTCTAAAATTTAAGAGAAAAAACCATACACTATAATGGAAGTAAAGTTCTATTAAATGCTCAAGTAATGGCTAGTACAAAGTGCATTAAAAACACCAATTACACTTTTCATTTCAGATTTGGTACAAGTGCTGTGGCTAGAGATTATATTTCTGCTTGAGTGATTTATATATTTGATTTTTTGGGGCGATAATGGTGTAATCAAATTAAATAATGGTCTGCAATACATTTGGATGCACCAGTTAATTTATTTTGCTCCTTTAAAAGTACATAGTTTGATATATTGCAAAATACAGTTTACAACCTAAGGGCAAAAAAACTAAAACCTAAAAACGTGATTTATAAAAAAAAAATATTAAACTGCCTTTTAAAATTATGCTCAAAAAGAATCAACAAATACTCACGGATAAAGATTTTGTGCACCAGTCCCTGGAAAATACACAGATCTCCTCTGGTAGAATGAGACCCTGACAGTTGAAATGACTGACTAACAACTTGATTTTATTGCAGAATTTCGGAATTCTCTGAGCCAATAACTGTCGTCATATCCCCAAAAGCCGTTTAGCAATGCAGTGTGATCGTCAAAACCAGCTTTTACTTTTCTTTATTTCTTCTGCAATTTATCTTGTGTCCACAGGCATTTCTTCACAGGACTGAGGCTTTTTCTTGCCTGTATGGGTCTGTTTATAAGCACGTGTGTTGTGAGAGGCATTTATTCATGAGCCTCTGACCTGCCCACAGCTCAGTGGGTGTTTAGATTTGGGAAAAGAGGGAGGTTGTTTAGGCAATGGATAAAGTCCAATGTGGAAATTCCGGAGCAACTCTCTCTCTCTCGCTCTCTCTTTCTCTCTCTCTCTCTCTCTCTCTCTCTCTCTCTCTCTCTCTCTCTCTCTCTCTCTCTCTCTCTCTCTCTCTCTCTCTCTCTCTCTCTCTCTCTCTCTCTCTCTCTCTCTCTCTCTCTCTCTCTCTCTCTCTCTCTCTCTCTCTCTCTCTCTCTCTCTCTCTCTCTCTCTCTCTCTCTCTCTCGCTCTCTCTTTCTCTCTCTCTCTCTCTCTCTTGTGTGTGTGTCTGTCTGTCGAAAGGCACATAATGTTTTCTTTACCTCCTGTGTGTTTTGAGGCCAAGGCCTGCCTGGAAGTAAGTTGCGCAACAGTGGAATAACTGCGGTGGTCTGGCCAAGTATCTCAACGCTTCAGAAACACTTTGTTTTTACTGAATCAGCACTGTTCTGCCATAAATCAAAAAAATACTTATTTCTGTTGTTTGTAAATTCACCAAGAGGACTTTCCATAAACTTTTTTTCCTTTCTATGCTCCCTCCCACCTCCCAGACTAATGTGCATTATCTGCTGCACACCTCCGCCCATCTGCAAAACTCACTGGACTTGTCGTCCACTAATAATTAGTACATGGATATTATTTATGATCTCATAATAGATCAACGGACCCCTCACCCCCACATTACCAGGGTTAAGACTTGAGGGGCGCAGTCACAGCATGACTCCTGAATGATCAGCAATACATCACATAGCTCCTTGTTATTCCTGCTCGACTGGCTGAGAGACTTCGTTCTTTGTCATATATTATTATAACTGCATGTGACTACTTGCAGTCTATACCACCCTCAACGTGCCTCTCCTGAATAGGAGTGTGTGTGTAATGCTACACATGCATGAAAAATGTAATCCAGAAGATTGTTTTCTGAAGGATGTTTTGAATGAAATGCTTACCCATGCCAAAAAAAAGGACACATGGTTCAGGTATGGATGGGATTGTGTTATTACAGATGTACAGATCTTTATGTATAGATCTTAAAAGTTGTGACAGAACTTTTTTGGGTTTAAGGAATGTTCCAGAATCAGTACAAGTTAAGCTCAATCTATAGCATATAATGGGATAATGTTGATTACCACATTATTTTTGACTCAGCTGTTCTTTTACTTATAAAAAACACGGGAATCTTGGCAGTGAGCCACTTATAAGTGAATGAGGCCAATCTGTAAAAGTTAAAATACTCATTGTTTCAATAGAATAGCCACAAGACGTAAACAATAAGTATGTTAATATAATTTTAATGTAGGGGGAAAAAGAGCACTTACCATCTCTGTGCAAAGTTCTATGCAATTTTACGACATCTAAACCCTAAAAATCATCATAAAATTAACAAGAATAACTCAAATAATAAGAATAAGCTTTACAGTAATAGAAGAATTAATGTGGGTGCTTTTATAAAACCACAAGCTTCTCACACTTTTGATTGAGCTTATGTATTGAACCTAAAAAATTGACTGTTGCTCAGTGTGGATTTTTTTCTTGTTGTATTAAATTCTGATTAATTATCATGTGTGATTGTGTTTCTATGAGGCTGGACTGTGATACAAAGTTTATTTGTGAGCTGTGGTTTTGCATTCAGTCATAGTTGCATTGTTTAGCACATTTGGGATAATTGTTAGAGAGAGGGCATGGGTGGTAAGAATCATGCAGAAAACCTTCTGAAAAGAACACATCTGAAATTCATTATTGCAAACTCTAAATTGGAACATGGTCTGCCTACGTGAACTCAAATTAAATACAATCTCAGCCTCCCAGCTCTCCCACGAATAGATCTTATCATTTGCATTTGGTATCGTAAGGAAATGAGACCAACATTTTAGTGTTTTCCCAGATGTCAACAGGAAATGTGGAAGCACAGCATTGATGGTATTGATGAAGAAAGAAATGTTTGCTATGGTCCTTGGCTAAATACCAAGGACAGATATGGAAGGCTCTGTAATAATTATATTTTCTGAAGAAAAAAGTTTTTCAAGAAGAGTTTGTGTGACAATTTTCATCATGACCAGAAGTCATTTGTGCCTTTGCCAAAACAGAAAAAAAAAAAATATATATATATATATGTTTCATTGTACAGAAGTAAATGTGCTGGATCCCCATACTTGTGGATATGATTCAGGATTTTGTTAGTCAATTGTTTCATCCTCTTTTTTTGTGGTATTTTTCTAAACGTATTTTAGAAAGTATTTCATCTGATCACTTATTCAAAGGCATTAAATCACATTTTAAACGTCAATTTCTTGTAATGTTTTTGTTTATCCCTGAACAAAAATAGGTAAGATGTCCTCTTTCTCTCTCTCTCTCTTTCACACAAACACAGATGTATTTGGCAGTCAAAAGCTGGAATATTTAAGGTCATGTCCCTTTTCCCCAAAACCCGTTGGCGCCTCACGACACAGAGCGTTTCCTGCTCTCCCTCCTGTGTTGAAATCTGGGGTTTATTTGGTTTGTTAAGTGCAGAATATGACATTATTGCTCTTGCTAAACAGTGTATGATGGCAGTATTGCATATGAGGATTAATCACATGGATGATATTTACTCATATAGAGGGAGTGACAACGTGATGAGACATATTTACATAAAAAGAATGACAAGAAACATGGTGGCGTGTTTCTCTCTCTGATTCTCTGACAGCTTGATGAACATGAGAGTTCATTTGCACATATTGTCATGTTTTTGAAGGAGGTATCGGGAGAATACAGTGTGTGTTGTGTGAAGTGTTTACTGACTGTTATCTTCTTACATAATTGAAATGAAGAGCTGGAATTGCTTCCTCTGTACTGATACAGTTTTGACTCAGATACAAACACCAGAACACAACAGATTTTGGTGAGAATATGTTCTTCCTGGCTTCTGTTGCTGAGCAATTCCACCTCATAAATTCCCATTTTTGTTTTGTATGAGCAGAGGATGGTTGTGAGAACACAGATGTCATCTGCCAAGGAAAATCTGAAGCACACCAAATTTGGCTGTATCTGGGTGTATTTTGAACTCATACAATTGTCAGTGTTTCTTTTTCTACTGCTGTGGGAGACCACAGAAACCTCTGATAGGGGTTTGGAGAATTTGAGTTCATTTGTTTTTTCTCAGAAAATTAATTTCTTTAATTTTACAGACACTCACAAATTGTATATGTAATAAATATATTTTTTCTCTGGCACTCACTCTGTCAGTCAGATTAACTTGTAGGGTGGATTTGTCCTAGAACTATAGAGATAAAAAGATAATGAAGGGAGAGAGCATAGAAATCATTTTTAAAGATTTTTAAAATTGCGTCTTTTAAATGGAGACCAAATGGATACTTTGCCTTGTGCTTCTCTGATTTTGGGTCTGAAGACCCAAGCAATAGTTTTAGTTTAATAGCAGTGTCATAAACTATGAATCAATATGTGGGTCTGTGTATTGTGAATGTATTTGTCTGCATGTGCTTTAAAATACCACTACTAATAATAATAATAATCAAGCGTAGCTATAGTTCTGGCAGGTCACATTAGTCTCAGCTGATCCACATCTACCTATAGGAATATGACGCCAATCACAGCATCCATAAGCTCCTTCAGTATTATCAGCAGGATACAATTCCCCTCTTCCATCCCCAGCTCCTTCTTTCGTTCAGTAAGGATTTGGCATTCTGATTCCCCTTTGATTCAGACTAAATTCTCGAATTATGATGTAAAATAAAATGTTGACATTAATGATATCTGCAATTTATGTTGGTTCTGTTCTGTTAACCCTAAGGGGGGTTATTGCTGCTCTCCCTGCTCTATTCATGCTAGGCTACATGGATGCGCAAGGAGTTCCACGTATTCACGTAGTGTAACAGCGCAGCTGTTTACACTTACATTTTCTGTGTAAATGACAATATTATTACAAATAAAATAACTGTTTTCTATTTTAATACATTTACACTCACCGGCCACTTTATTAGGTACCCCATGCTAGTAACGGGTTGGACCCCCTTTTGCCTTCAGAACTGCCTCAATTCTTCGTGGCATAGATTCAACAAGGTGCTGGAAGCATTCCTCAGGGAGTTTGGTCCATATTGACATGATGGCATCACACAGTTGCCGCAGATTTGTCGGCTGCACATCCATGATGCGAATCTCCCGTTCCACCACATCCCAAAGATGCTCTATTGGGTTGAGATCTGGTGACTGTGGAGGCCATTTTAGTACAGTGAACTCATTGTCATGTTCA